ACACACACACACACACACACACACACACACACACACAGACAGACAGACAGACAGACAGGAAAAGCACCAGCATGAGGGCGCCAGGCCGGGGCATCTGAGGACAACGTGGGAGTGAGAAAAGCAGGGGGAGGGACTAAGGTAGATTTAGAACAAGAGAAAAGAATACTTCCACAGTACACAGAGAAATAAATGAAGGGATAGAGATAGATTATTGCAGAGTAAGAGATGGGGGGGAAGGGGTAGAGTAAAGATCATGACATGCTTACATTAGCCGAAGGCATTCAGATATGAGACAAGCCGCTTAAAACGTCACTTTTCTTTTACATTTCTTTTAAGGTTTGACTGCAATATTCTTTGACTAAACTAAGATATGTTTTTGTATTTCCCTTACAGATGAATCTGCAAGTTCAAAACTGAATTGAATATTTCGCACATACAGTAGAGGTAAGAGTGATGTGATATGTCCATTCATATTTATGGTTGCAGTACTGTAGTGAACCTGCAGGTGGCAGATTGTCACATCAGCGCCCTGTTGTAGCTGTCTGTTCAACAGTCTTCAAAACATGACCCAGCAGAACAGTGTTCTAAAAGGGAGTGGTTGGTGGCACCGCCCCTCTGTAGTCACAATCCATGAGTCAACCAGATATCATCATCATAATTTGGGTTGAAGAACCGTGGATGTTCATTTCTGAGTGTCCTGAGTGATTCTATAGTTGGAAAAGCCTTCCACATACTACAGTCTCTCTTTTATATGTGCTGTCCAGCTTTTATTGTGGACAGCATGAAAGCACATTTAGTTACTGTACGTAAAAATGAGCTAAATATTATGGAAGCGTGTTTCCAAAAGAGTAAAAAAATAAAAAAAGAATTGTGAGAAAGTTTAAAATAAGATATAGTCAGATAACAAGATAGCATAAAATGTCACAAAACACAATAGGACAATATATCTTGTAACTCCGACTTTTTTTTTTCTCTTGAGTTTTTTTTTATCCCACAAAGTCGCAATTGCGAAATATGTCAAATGACATCACATTGGGAGAATCACATTGCAATAAAGTTGCGATAATGTCAAATGCAAGATATAGCAAATTGTGAGATATGGTCACATTACAAAATAACTTTACAAAATATAATGTCGCAATTAATAGAAAGTTGCAGTTGCAACATTATCTGATATAACGTCACAATTGGTAAAAATAAGGATATATTTTTGATTATGGGAATTATTATTATGGGAAGCCAAGATGCAACGTGGTATATTGTGATATCAAGTCACAATTTGGGAAAAAATAAAGTTGCATTTACAAAGTATTCAGTAACAATTTGAAATATAAAGTTGCAATAACAAGACAAAGTCACAACTGTAAAATTGCAATTTGGTAGAAATTAAGTTGCAGTTATGAGAAACAAAGTTACAGTTGTGAGATGTTGCAATAGAGTGGGGTAAGAAGTCAATAGTAAATTTTGCAGACACATTTCGAAATTAAAAAGTTGCAGTTAGGAGAATAAAGTTTCAATTTACTTTGGGGAGGAAACAGGCTTATATAAAATATTGAGAGTTTAATAAACCTGCCAAAGTATTTGCTTACTGAAACAACAGTAATCGTGTTAGGATTCGGCACATCTGTACATGAAGCGAGAGAAAGAAAACATGACACAGCAGTCTCCTGGCACCCTCTTAGGGCCCATCTTTGTTGTGGGATAGCTGTCCATGGATGTGCCCGATCAAATAAACCTTAATCTCTAAAGGCCTCCAGGCCAAACAGGCTGGTCTGTCTCCATCCAGACCTATCCAGGCAGGCCGCCAGTCTGCCTGGGCCTAGCTTGCGAAGTCATGTCCACTGCGCCCTCCCCGCAGTGGGTACGGGACTGAGGGGAATGCCCCCTGCCCTCCCTTTTTCTCTCACCCAGGCCTGGTTGAGATAGCCAATGGTATAACCAACTCTGACAAAGTTAAAATGGTTCGAGACGAGCTTTCGTCCAATCAGAGCACACTGCAGTATAGCAAGCAGGTCGGGGGGGTGTGCAAAGGAGAGAGACAAGGCAAAAGACAAAAGAAACGGAAGATGGAGGGACTGACTTGGCACAAGGGAGAAAAATAGAAATCGAGGTAGACAGAGGATAAAGGAACATGTAGTTTGTCGGACAGGAAGCAACAAGTATCGACTGTTGCTGCACTTATTGATCATTCTCAAACGCTGTTTTTCTATTGCTGTTTTTACAATCACAGAGATGTTTATCTGATTCACTCAAACGCTGTGCAGACATACAATTTTTGTAACAATCGTAACTGTTATTTGAATAGTAACACCCACATTATGATTTCTAGACCTCAGGGCAGGAGACAGACACACTCAATGCATCTTCCTGCCAAGATTCGCCAAGTTCACTCACCAGTGAGAAATTGGTTAGTGTAGCAGACCGACTCCTCCGCTTCATATCGCTCATCCTTTTCCAGCCGTCAATAGACGGATGACCCAGGCAGAGCGGAGGTGATGGAGGAATGGGCAGAGAGTAGAGCATAAAATGTGACACACACTGAGAGTCTATCTATCCTTCTGTCTGTTTCCATAGAGGAAGTGAAGGGGTGATTGAATGAGTTCAGCTGCAATGCTTTGCATTCTGCTTCACGACGGCAGAATCCTTCTGTCTTCTGTCCTCCTTGCATTCTCTGGCTACTATTTTGTCTCCTCAAGAGTCCTCTCAGACACCACCCAAACAGAACACATTCAGGAACACAGACTTAAAGGGGTCATATGATGTTGCTAAAACACATTATTTTGTGTATTTGGTGTAATGCAATGTGTATACAGTGTGTTCCACATACTGTACATTATTGTTTCTCCTCTATGCCACGCCTTTCTGAAACGTGTCGATTTTTACAAAGCTCATCGTTCTGAAAAGCACGGTGTGCTATGATTGGCCGGCTATCTAGTGCGTTGTGATTGGCTGAATTCCTCAACCGCGTGACGGAAATGTTATGCCCCTTACCAGGTTCAGGAAACTTTCCTCCGTAAAATGCGCTGCACACACTCGAATATTTGGGTTGTACTGTTCTGGAATATTGTTGTAAATAAAACTTAATCACAGATTTCTAGTTGTGTCCTCTTTTGGAAGACCAAACAAAGTAGTTTGGCACACAGCGTCTCCACGATATGGCGGCGGCAACAATAGGCTTGTTTGAGATGCATCGGCGCTGTGCAGACCGATCGGTGTATGACATCAAAGTCCTGTGAAAGTGATAGGAGAGCAGACGAGTGTTCATGCTTTTTGAATTGCTCTCGCGGTACTTTGATGTCATTTGCCGATTGGTCTGCACAGCGCCGATGCATCTCGAACAAGCCGAATGCTACAGCGAGAATAAAAGTTACGCCTTCTTTCTTTGCGTATACATTTGGGCAGTGTTATGCAAATCTTCCCACACAGTGACGTAGACATGTTGGGGGTGTGTTTGAACGAGGCGTTTTAGGAAGGCGTGGCTGAGCGTTCACTTTTATAAAGAATATCTCTTTGGGTTTGAGACTTTAATCTTTGCGACTTTATGGATCTTCTGTATGCACAAACAGCTTTTAACACTCCAAAGACAAAGAAAAACATGAAATCGCATCATATGGCCCCTTTAAAATGTACAAAAATCCATTGGTGCAACATTATACAAAGCAGAAGTTCAGGTGAACTAGTGTTTCACAGATTAAGAATTGCACTTTTAGCTTGTCACTGGAGCTGTACCCTCAAGGATACACCTTTGTTTCTTTTCTATGCCTGGTGCATATTGATAACTTACTAATATGCAACCTTTCAGGTACTAATATGCACCATTTAGAAGTGAATAAAGCACCTTTGAGGTTATCATCCCAGTGACAAGCTTTTGCACCCCTAAAGGTACAATGTGTCTAATATTTTTCAGCCAACTCTGGGGTCCTCTTGAGAAACCCAGTCTTGCCTGAAAATTTCTGTCATTGCATTATATGCTTTGTGTATATAGACTTTGATATTTCTCATTGCGTTGCACTTTGCACTACATATGCAGTCTTCATCTTGTCTATGTTAAAGAAGATCTCAAGATGGACATGTGATAAAACACAAAAAATATTTGTTGACTGTCTTTAGTGACCATCGTCTTTGTGGCAAAGGCTTTCGTAGATTCACAGATTCTAGTTTGATTGACTCTGCTCATGCAATTTCCATCATGATGCACCGATTTTTTTAGGCTTGCCAGGAAACAAAGTTATGTTTACAAGTTACTGGGTTGTTATAATGAGAACTTTGGCAAATCCAGAAACTTCCAGTCAAAGTTTATGAGGTTCATGGCATGTTGAATCTTTAGTAAAACGTAGTTACAAGGTCTGTACAAGATGGATCCTCAAAATTTTGTGTCTTTATGTAAATTCAGTAAGATTGTCTACATCATAGGATTAGCAGATGTTTTAGATTGAGTTGGTATAAAAGTACTTGGCAGCAAGCAGAAACACACATCCTAGAACATGCACAATAATTCATAGTAGTAAAGCACACAGTATTTACTGTTGGACTAGGCACATATGTGTTTGTTTGGATAGGTCTGAATGTCTATATACACTTATATCTTTGTTCTTATCTGTATGAGCGTTTTTATTATTACTTTATGATTCTTTAAGGCAGCACTGGAAGCCACTCGGGCAGATCACCACATACTGCTCATACCAACACATTATCCCACTGAAGAATGCCTGCTGAAGAATGCAGCACATCCCTCACCCTCCACCCTGCTATATCCCTCTGACTGACTTTCTGCCGTCTCTTTTTCACCGAATGCGAAGGAAACGTGGTGATAGAAATTGAGAGAAAGAGACAGTACTGTAAATCCAAGCATACAGTATGTGAGTGGGCAGATAGGAGATTTAAGTGATGAACGACAGGTGTGTGCTGATTTGATCCATTGGTATGATTCTGCAAAAGTGTGTGAGTGAGTAGTGCATTACTCTTTAACCGATGTGTGTGTGTGTGTGTGTGGTTCAGATTGTATGGGTGTGTTCTTGTAAAAATGTGTGCGTTGCAGGTATGACTCAGTGTCGGATATGAGCAGGCATGAGGTATGTGTGCGGGTTCGAATAGAGGATGTGACTCAGGAGACATGCACTGGGTGTTCAGCGTAAATCGCTCGATCTAATGACAACTGGAGTAATCGCATTGTTCAGTAGTCTGAGCCTGCAGTGAAAGTGCTCTGTGACTCATACAGAAAGGCAGGATGAAGCCACACACACACACACACACACACACACACACACACGCGCGAACAATATAACCCCAAGGGCCGTCATTCACTGAACGCGAGATAATTTGCTGTAAACATGAGATAATTCAAAGGGAAAAAGCCTAATGTGATTGTTTGTTTTTCTAAATAGTTTCTTTCATCTGTGAAATGAGTTAGTTGAAGTTAAGGTCCACTCATTCCCAAAAGATGC